GGGGGGGACGTTTGGAGTGATGGCGTTTGTCTTCCCAAGTAACTGTTATGCGTGATGGAGCCCTGCTTTCCTGGGGATGACTGAACACCTGCCTGCCCATGGGAAGTAGTGAATGAATTCCTTGTTTTGCTTTGCTTGCGTGTGTGGCTTTTGCTTTACCTATTAAACTGTCTTTACCTCAACCCACGAGTTTTCTCACTTTTACCCTTCTGATTCTCTCCTGCATCCTGCTGGGGGGGGGCTGAGCAAGTGGCTGTGTGGTGCTTAGTTGCTGGCTGGGGTTAAACCATGATAAAGTAGTTTTACTTTCATATACGTTTTACTTATCCCTCACCACTTCCTTGCTCATTCCCTTTTTCTAATGCATTCGTTTTCTGAGTGTATCGGTATCCAGAGACAGGCATAGCTTGTCACAGTGAAGACATGTTTGTTTCCGATGCCCTTGAGCTTGCTTGAAGCTTCTTCTCTTGCTGAATGTATGATGACCCCTTGGGTTTTGCAGTCCCACAAGGTTCTAAATACAAAGCAAATGCCCTTTTGCACCTAAGCACAGGACTTTGAAACCAAGCCAAGCCCACAGCCAGAGATGATTATGGAGGTTTCTTAGTGACTTTAGATTCAAGTATTGGGATTTGCACATAAATCAAATCTAAAATCCCTTCTTTCTATTGAAATGTCTGGATTTAGCATCCAGAGGGAGGTACTAGAAGTTCATACAGGGAAATTCAATCTGTATGATTCTCTGTTGACTTCTCTGTCTTTTTTTATAGCTCAAGTAAGGGAGAAGTTGGGGAAGGTGGCATAATGGGTGTGCGTGCAGAGCTTAATGCCAAAAACAGAGGCCTGACTGAATAGACCTCCTTGTGATGAGAAGGGGGATCAATTCACTGTTGACCCCATCCCATTGTGTGGGTTGTCCTGGGAGTTTCCTTTGAAAATCCCAGTGGTTTGGGTTTTCTGCATGGTTTGTAGTCAGCCTTTCCCTCCATGAATAGAATAGCTTTTGCTGGAATTTTTGCTGGATTTTCTGTGGTTATTGGCTGAGCAATGCTCTCTCACTTCAGAAGACTTGAGCAAGCGTGTTGTGGAAGCACTGGTCAGGGACCCTGAATCATTTGCTGGCTTAGAGTTTTTCATATACAGAACAAACATATTCCTAGGACGCAATTGCCCCCGAGAAACAGATTATACTTTACTGTCCCAGGTGGAAGTGTTCATTCATTATTTGGATTGCAGGAGTGATTTGGGGCTTTATAAACACATGAATTTCTGCCCTACAACTCATGGTGATAGAAAGGCAGGGAGCTTCAGGCAGACTGGGGAACACAACACAGTCCTAAAAGATGAGAAGTGGACAGAGCTATGAACTAAGGACACCAGATGCTGATTGTGAGTGTCGGTCCTGTATATTATTACTTTATAAATCTGTTGGCCTAGAGGAAGGAATTCATTTTAGAAGGGAGGGAGTACTTGAGAAATCCACACCTTGGCATTGTCAGGTAAAGAGATGTTCAGGATGTCTCCCTGCTGTAGGGTTGCTCTGAATGAACCCCTGCACGAGTGGGTTAGGGGCCAGGATCTGCAAGGAAAAGGAATTTTTCCCTAGGTGTATTTTAACATCTTGCTAAAATGAACATGCTCTATTTGCCTGTCTGCTGCACAGCCTCATAATCTAGTGGCAGCATTCAGAAGGGGAAGGTTCTGCTCCTTCTCTTGTATGGTAAGTTGCATCAAACTTCCTCATAAACCTGCGCTGTCTCTTGGAGTACCGTGCCCCAGGCCTGCCCCCGAGTCAGCCTTTGGCTCCTCCTGCAGTGGCTGGGGGTCGTCCTGTTTTATGGGCTGGATTCTGCACTCATAGCTGTGCTGACTGGTGTTTCTTTATTGGTGTAGGCCCATTTAAAACAAACTGAAGATTTTATCTAGTCAATATTAAATGAAAATTCAAGGCACATCCCTTTGTTTTTTCAGTTTAAGTTCTCAGCATTGTCCCCACACACTAGCTTTCTGCTTCGCCACGTGTGGGACATACATACACTGGTGTAGGAGAATGCTACGTGTAGCTGTGCTGTGTAAACTGTGCCAGATGCTGAATTGCATCAAACTATTCTACTTCAGGAGATCAGATCTTCATATTTGTTATTTCAGTATCTTAGAAAGCCATGGTTTTCTTCTTTATTTGAAGCATATGGAGTTTACATAAAGGAGAAGGATTTTTTCCCCATTTATTTCCTCCTAATAAAATATGTCCAGCCTTTTTTTCTTGTAAGCAAACACAGCAATTGAAAAGATACCAGGTTTTCAGTAAGATAGAAATGAGTCCTATATGGGGATCCTTAGTGGTTAAAAGAAGAACTTGAAGAACTCTCCTTCAAGATAGAAACAAGCTTGCAAGTCTGTCAGTCTTCTGCTTGTCATCTCTGGCTTTCTGCTTGTTAGTTGTCTGGGGGAGACACATACACTCAGTGTGATTTGTTTTTCAGAAGTTGATCTGCCTCTGAAAAAAGATGGGTTCACATCAGAAAGTACAACTCTGGAAGCCTTGCTGCGTGGCGAGGGAATAGAGAAAAAACCGGACACTAAAGAGGAAGACACTATACAAGAAATCCAGGTAAAGGAGAGCCCCATGCCCTGACAGCAGGGCTGGATTTTACAGTTTGTCTCTAAGCCCAGCAGATTTTGTCCTGTGGCAGAACAGTGCATCTGTTGGTAGTTGTGTCATTCTACTGTCAAAATGTTATCAAACCATTGTGCTACACTGTGATGCTCAAAATGAACTCAGGATCTTGCACATTTCTCCTGTCACAAGAATCTCGGTCATTTGGCTGTGTTCTGCACGGGTCCTGTGTTGGAATTTGTTTTGCAGCACTGTGAGACGATGACATATAAAACTGACAAGCAGAGATGAGTCCCAACCATAAACTGAATTTTAGTGCCTCAGATTTAAAGTGAATTTGGACATGGATTTGAAGTTAGATTCACAGCTGCTGACTGTAGACAAAAACATGTTATTGCCTTGTCTGTTTTTTCTTATATTGAGAAGCCTTCAGGAAGTACACAAGCAAAATAAATAATTAAAAATATTCTAATGTTAATTATCATCTCAGTTATTATTAGTGATGCAGGCATGAGAAATACTGCTTCTTTACATGCATTATGGCTTGAAAGTTATTTGTCAAGATTCTATTTCATCCTTTAACAATTCAAAATAGAAACACATTTGTGGGTCTATCATAGAAGGAGTTCCACTAATATAAAGGGTTCTTATATAAGGGCATGTCACTTTATAAAGACATCTTAAATCACTAGGAAAGCGGGCCTCTCCCGGGGGAGCAGCAGCAAATCTTTGGTGATGCTAAAACACCATTGTGCTGTGAGTCTCTATTAGTGATTTTTAGCAGGAGCCATTGGCAACGTGTTAGACTTGGTAATTTTGGCTGAGGTACAAGACGATGCATCTATACCTGAAACTAGTACAAATTTGAGTGGGCAGCCCCATGCCAAATGAAACAGAAGAGCGTGGGCATCAAATCTATATATTACTTGGAGCTCAGTCCTACTGGTCTGTTTGCTAGAAATTTCACACATTTCAGGGCAGCAAAATTAGGTCTCCTATTCCCTGTTCCACAGGTAAAGGAGCACCATCAAAGAGGAGGCATCCCATGCTCATGGAGTGGGGAAAAGCTCAGCATGAGGCCCCCTCTGTGATTCCTTCTTCAGTAGTGTACCTGGGTCTATTAAGCTGAGAGCCCTAAAGCTCTGTTTATACCTGCTTCCAAGGTCACAAGAAGTCATGGTGCAGCATCCTTATGAGATTGACAAGTGCCTTTGGATGTTGCTGTGCAATCTGAGCTCCCAAATTATCCCCAGCAGCAGTCCAAGGAAAGAGACTTCAGAGATGGTGGAACTGACACAAGTCTGGGCATTGCAGAGCAGGGAGGGGGTGCGAAAATACACAAAAGGTTTTCAGTTTAACGGCCCTAGCAGTGACCTGTCATCTGGATGCTAGTTTCATCAGAACAGATGCAAAAGACATGTCTTGCTGTTGTTTCTTATGCAAGCACAGCTCGTCTGGATTCAGTCTATAGAACAATGATTGTCAAAGCCTTTACTAGTAGCCAGCTTTCAGTGTGTACTTCGGCACCTCGCAGCTAGATCGTACCAGATCAAAATCATGATCAGTGCCTTTTATCCGTATGACAAATAAGAGAATGCAAATCTCTCTTTTGTTCCTTTGCATGCTCTTCTGTGCCATAACTTGAAAGGGCCCAGCCTCAGTGGTGGTGAGAGTGAGCAGGTGGGATAGACATATTTGTAATTCCCACCTCAGTCCCAGCCACTTACTGCCCTCTCAAACTCACAGTATCTGCCAGGAGAAGAAGACTTGGTGCTTAGCTGCACTGAAGTACATTGGGCTGGGAAACTTAGGAAGACAGAATAGGAAAAGTTACTTTGCTAACAAGGGTAAGGGTTGCCCCTGCTAAATAGATGCAGTCATTGGGACCTGCTGTGCAGTTGGTATTTAACAGGGCTGAGGATTTTGCTCTACAGTAAATTGGTATTGAATGTGTGTCTCCATCACTTGCTGGAGAAGGCTTAGAATAGCCTTTTGACCATGCATCAGGAAGGCTATGCCCCTTCTATGAAGAGTTAAAATCATTACCCTGGCAGCGTCACCAAATTCACACTTGGTTACTTATTATGTCTTTCCTAAATTGATGCTGCAATTTTAAACAAAGAAAGTGGTTTGCAATATTTCTCTTAACTGCTCTTGTGTAGTATTATTGTTGTAAACTACCTCCTTCCCCTCCCACATATGATATGGTTGCAGCCTTCTCTTTTTTTGGAGATACTTTAAGATATGAAGCAATGTGAAAATATAAACTCACATCAGTAAGTTTGCTTGTTTTCTTACATACCACTAGTCTCCTCATGTACAACATTTTCCAAGTGCTTCAGTTTCCTAAGATGAAATCAATTGATGTATGCAATTGCATGAATTTTGAAGAAACATTTTATGTTTGTAGAACTGGAACTTGTTTAACTTTTACACCCTCTAATATTTAGTACTCTAGTATTATGTGAAATTGTATTTCATGATCATCTGACCTCATTAATAGCCTCCTGAGATTTAAAAATAAAAGGAGCAAAAACCAGATCAAGACTTGGTCCTCTACCATGTTCTAAAAGTTGTTTGTACTTTTTAAAAGGGGAACTGTCCAATATTAGTCTTAAAAATTTAGCTGATAAAATTAAGAATAAACTTGTATAGTTGGTCTTCCAAATACAGGCATTTTAAAAAGTGAAATTTCTGTTGTATTCTTTCCCACAAATTCAGAATTTGATGCTTGAGGTATGTAGGAAGGAGAGAAAGCAACTGTGATTTGCTCCTGTTCTCCCTCTGCTGGCTCTCGAATAGCTGTTGGCTAGAAATTATAGGGAAGGAACAAATACAGTAAGACTGCAAAACCTCCCCATCAGTTTAAAGTTGCTAATTTAGAATCTGTATCGTGGCTGCATGTTGTAATTTAAATGAGTGGTGGCATGGCAAAGATAAGTTAGTGATTCCACATTAGTCCTTTATGAAATGGCACCGCACCATGAACAGCAGGAGTGGCTGGGGCCCATTTCTGTATTTCTAGCAGACATGCCAAGGGTTGAGGGGATTTCAACGGGACTTCTTTCCACATTAGTGTTGTGGTGGTTTGTCTTGCGTTTGTCCATGTGATGTCTGACTTGTGCATGTTTTCAGGGCGGCCAGCCTGTGTTTGATTCTATCGAGGTTACATTTCAAAAGATCAAGATAAAAGGATTGAAATTCCCTGGCCTGGGCATCTCACAGTTATGTGAGATGATGAATTATTGTTCCTATTAAATAATTAATTGAAGGAACTATTGCTGTTGTTCCTATTAACTAATGAGACCTGTACTTCCTCAGCATTCTCACGTAGCAAGACCCCTGCTTCCAGATTACAGAGTTGTACCTGTGGTATAAGCCCTGGAACATGGCTTATAGTAACATGGAACATGTTACTTTCTAGATCCACTAAACATGCTGCAATATATGGGGGAATTTTCTCTATTTTTGCTAAACAAAGAAAATTCTGAGCTGCCAAGGAGAAAAACACTGATTTTTGTCTTCTTAAAATGCATTCTCAACATTAGAGGAAAACGAAAGAATTTAAGGTGCAAGAAACCAAAATAAAAAAATCATGCAAACAATTTCCCAGACAGGGCCTGCAGTTATGCATGCTAATACTTGTGTTGTATTGGGATATCAGTGCTCAGTGATGCCACTGTTATTTCTTAGGAACCTTTTTTTCGTAGTTGACTGATATCAGTGGTATTTTTTAATAAGAACTCCCTGGAGAACTGAGGGTGGAAGGGAAAGCAAATTTTGCTTTAGCGGAAAGAAGTAGGGGTTCTGGGATCTGATTTGGCATTATATCATTAATCAACTGTAATTTAATAACCTGCAGTCTCTGTGGTAAAGAGCAGCAGTTGGTTGTATGTGTCATCTTTGTTTCTTCTAACCATTCCCGTTTATTGTTCAACCACAGAGGGTTTTAGAAAATGATGAAAATGCAGATGAAGTGAATGAGGAAGAGGATTTGGAAGAAGATATTCCAAAACGAAAGAACAGGCCTAGAGGACGGGTAGGTGGAGACTTTACTGGAATGGAAAGGAAGGAAGCAAACCTCTGCTTTCTAGTGTATATTTGTCATGTGTATTGTATATGCAAAGTGTTTATCCATGGTTATATGATAGTGATAACACTGTAGGTAATTTTCTGTCATATGGTCAAAGATTTTTTAATATTTTTTCAGTTTATTTTTGTGAATTACCAAGAAAAAAGACTATTTTGAGAGTAAAAAGTTGGGGTAAATTTATTATAGTGTTGTATTTACAATCGTAATGTAAACTGTAATAATTATGATGACATCCTGCTATTACAATGCTCTTACTTTAAAACAACATTTACTAATTACAGAAAAGCAACAAATTCAGTCATGACAGTCAAAAAAAAAATTAATAAAAGTAACTTGAACTGTGTTAATACATTTTGCAGCTTTCTCCAAGGTAGCACTTTGTGGCTGACACTGGCCCTCTTGAGCCAATGGCAAATCTTCCATTTGCTTAATATGGGCAATATTTTTTCCTTAGGGGAGTCTGTGTCCCTTCTCTTACCTAAGATGTCTTTTCACAATTTCAGCAAGGCACCAGTTAAGTAATGAGGCCAACATTTTAAAAACTTGGAATCAACATTTTCAATTGTGGCCCCTTAAGCTAGGCATCTATTATAAACGTGAACACAATTCTCAGAAGTTTTGACCATTTTCATCTTTCTTTGGCTCCAGCGGATGCTGCAAGGGCACAGGAGCTCTACAAGTACCTTTTGATGTGTTTGTAGGAGTCAAGCAAGAAGGGCCACATTTTAGGCCAAATGAGCAGGATTTAATAGCTTTTGAATAAAAGAGAGACATTAAACCACATTGAATACTTGCAATGTACTTATGCATCAGACCCTCTCTTTTGGTTTCTTCTGTTGTTGTGTTGTTTCAGTTTTCTGCTCCTCTTTATTTTGGAGCTTAAGTCCTTTAATATAAGATCAAAGCACTTTAATAATTGGATAAGTATATATTTCACCTTCCTTATTCTCAAAATCACCTGAACCAGTTTCTTTCTTTCTTTCTTTCTTAGCCAAAGACCCCCACCTGGAAAAAAATTTTCCAGAAAAATGTAAGTTTCAGAAAATTTGTATGAACCAGTAACCAAAACCAGGAGTTAGAATCGATAAATGCACACAAGCTTGACTGTAGTGATCAACTAATATTCCAGGCTAACAACTCTTTTCTAATAAGTTGCTCTCACATAAATTGCGCATGCTGGTTAGGGTGAGTGAAAGGGAGTGAATAGCTAAAAGCAATATACTGCTCAGAAGGGAATTTGCTGTATTCATATATCCCAGGCCTACACAAAGTCAGTCCTGAAGCTACTGTTATGTGCAAAGTTTTACTCCCCTGTTCAGAAAACTGTTTCAGAATATCTCTATTACTTTTTCTCTGCTACTGTAGGGAATGGAGTTGGAGGGTACTAGACGTCCCATTCATTTTGAAGCATAAATTTACGTCTTATTTTCTGCCCTAGAACTGGCCCCCTATTAAGTAGAGGAGCAGCAGAATCTCTTGCCTTTTTCTTGCAACTAACTCCTGCTCTGCCAGTGCCCTGGCTTCATTCAGTGCAAAAACCAGACGTCTGAAGACTGCCAAATACTTTGGGCAATTTTCGTTTTTATTTGATGGCATCAATAACCAAAGCAAAATGTGATATAAATTAGGATTTCAAAATTAGGGCCAGATTCCCTAGCTGCTGAAAACTGGTAAGCCTGAATTGCAGCCTGAATTGCAGCCTGAATTGTGTCTGGTCATGAGTGTTTTGCCACTCTTCAAGCAGCCCTTTTCTAATGTAAGCCTGACCCAGTGTAGGGAATCGGGACCCAGGATTTGAAATTAGGGGACATGAAACCTGGGCAGCACTTTGTTTCTGGGAAGGAGTTGGTTAAATTATTTTTAGAGGGCAGAAGAGGGGAAGGACATGCATAGGAAACTAGATCCTTCAGAGTGTGGCCTTTGGGGATTCAGAGAAGGAGTGAGAAGGGCTGACAGCATCGATGCAGGATTAATGCGACAGAATTACTGCTCTGGACTTTCTAAATTGCACATGCCCCTTCCTTGCCCCATAGCATGATTTTATTTTTAATCCTGGACTCTCCATCTGTCCCTCTGGCTACTCTCTCTGGCTGCTTCAGGGCTGCTTCAAGGCTGCTATGCCATGGCTTCCAGGCCTCACACATCAAGTCTCGTAGTCTTTGCTGCATCCCGTCAGGAGAATGAAGGCAGTTGTGGATGACTGAATTCAACAGACTGGAGTGCCGACAGCCAGCACGTGGCACTCAACTTAGTGCCTCTGGGGCAGCTGCTTGGTTTACTACCCCTTCAAGGCTAGCCCTGGAATTGTGGGAGCATTAGGAAGGACACCGAAGGCCGAAGAGATGGATTTACGGAAGGAGCTTTTTAGTATCTTTGTGGACAGGGAGAATGTGGTAGGAGCTGGGAAGGATAGTTTGCTAGGAGATACGAGGGGAATGCAGCTACACCTGTACAGATTGTCTGCTTGTCAGCTGAATATCCCATGGGAGAATTTCAAAGGCACTAAAGACATTTAGGAACCCAAGTCCCATTGAAAGTCATTGACTTGAAAAATCTCCCTCTGTGTGTTCAGTGCATGAAAAAATATATCTGACGTGCGGTCATGACATGAATGCTGTACCCTTGCGTTTCTGTAGAGAACGGTTTGAAGGGAAACAGCTGGCTGTAAGACTAGCAAAACTCCGAGCAACAGACCTTAAATTACCATCCTATTCTGAAAGGTGCCTATGTAAAAATAGTACCTTCTTACTCAACAGATCTGTTCTCAGTGTGTAAACAGAGTCAGACCTACTGACTGGTAACAAAAATAAGACTTTACAGCTTTTTCACAGCCCTGAGAAGCCAATGCAGCTGGTAGGATAGGGAAATTGGATCCTAATCCAGGTATCAGCAGAAATATTTAAGGGCCAATCACTTGTCTCTATGAAGGCTCTCTGATGAGCTAAGGGTTGTATAGGAGCTGCCATGGACTGAAATTCAGCTTGCAGCACATTTTGCAGCAGTGAGGGAGGGAAGGAACTAGCCTGGGATTGATTTCATAGCCCAGAGGGGATTTACAGAGCTGGCAGTCAGAGAGAAAATACTGCAGACTAGTAAGATGATTTTATGTGCTATGGTCAGTAAAGTAGCTTCCACCAAACAATTGTTGCTGGGGCCTTTTCCAGGGTGAAACTGCTTTTCAGTTCTCCCTTACACGTGTGTGCTGATCTGCACAGAGGTCTTTGCAGAAGGCAGAGCTGTACTTGTCATACCTAATAGTATTTACCCCATCCAGACAGCTGCAAATCCATGTCTTTCCTTCAGGACTGTGTTAAGAGTTAGATCTGAGCAATCCTAGGAAAATAACGTGTGAAGTTTTTATAAATCCCTGTTTTGACAGACTGTGGCAGGCCAGTGTAAAACTGTTCCTTGTTCCTTCTCTTTAGATGTCCGATGGAATGCAGCTCCTATAGTGCCAGTTCAGTGCCAAATCCATAGAAGAGGGACAGAGCTCATATGACCCCTTTGTGTCTGGGGCACTAATATTCTCAGAATTTCTACATCTTCTCCAGCTTTACTTGATGAAGCTCTGTCCCTTTCTTGTTTTCACATGCAAAAGCTTGAAGGATTTGAGTCAGACGGCCTTGTCTAGGGTGAGAAACATCAACAGTTTAGTAAGAGGAGCAGCAGAAACAATTTTGTTGCTTTTATCCAGGAATAGAGTAGCTGGCAGAATTGATAAAGGGCTATCTAGCCATCCACCTGCAGATCACTTCCTCAAATAAAGATCAAGTCTAAAATGATTGTCATCTACAGACTGTACATTAGTGAACGTGAAAGAATTGAAGGCCTTGGCTCAATTCCCAGTTGCACATTCACAGCCTCCACCATTGGACAGATATCAACTGTCCCCTTGTTGGCATCTCAGCTGAGAAGGGTCAGGACCAAGTAACTTTGATGCTGAATTCCGCTCTTACCCCTGGAGCTCAGGACAGAGCAGTCTGTGCTGTGGAGAAACAGAGCTTTTCTGTTTCCAGGGCTGCCAACTTGGTATGTTGTAGGAACACAGAACTGCAGAGAGATCTTTCTGGGTAATTCCCGTTCTCTGTTATTGCAGGTAGCCATGTTACCTAATCTTTTCCACTAACTGACCAAAGCTCCATTTTATAATTAGCCATGGTATCTTTGTCCCAGAAGGCCATTTCAAAACATTGCTTTTCAGCTAGAAAACAAACCAAACCAAACCAAACAGCCCCCCTTTGAAAATAGTAAAGGAAATAATTTTACCTCTGTTTTATTTGGGGCCTGTTTTCTGGCTGATTCAATGGTTATATTTATCCTCTAACACCTGTTCATCTATTCATTCATTCATATTCAGTTAAGCAAGGTATTTGAACATCTTCAGAAATGAATGTGTGATGATACTCGACTGAATATGTGCTGGCAGTGACCTACTGCTATGGATGAACAGTTCGGGTTGTCTGTGGAGGGGATCTCCACTGCATTACAAGGTCCATTAACACAGTGCATATCTTAGGAGATGAAGGGTCAAGCCCACCCTTGACAAACCTGTATGGAAGCTGAGGATTTGTTTAGTTTATATTGCACATTTTTCATAGGAGGGTGAGGGGCACAAGGAGACCTGAGGGGCGATGGAATAATGTTAACATTCCTCTTGTCCTTGCAGGCTCGGGGATCTGGAGGTGGCAGGAGACGGAATGATGCTGCCTCCCAGGATGATCACGACAAACCCTATGTTTGTGACAGTAAGTAGTACCCAGACAGCTGATTCTGCTTCCAGCCTAGTCCTACGAGCTCGGTGCACTCAGGGCTTCATCTTTTCCTTTCCAGCAACATATTCTGCTGCTCTCTGACTTGCATGTTTGGCACCTGCTGCTGCTGCTGCTCTTGGTGTTTTTGCATGAAGAAAATAAAATTAAGTCCTCGGCAAGGCTCCACTTCCCTTTGCCCTATAATGAATCATCTCTTATATTTTCTTTCTCTTTCTCCTTCTCTTTTTCTGGCTTCTCTGCCTTTTGTCTTCCTTTCCCCCATGTAAGATTCACCCTCTATTTCTTTCTCTGTTTCAGATAGTTACAAACAAAAGCATAACTCAAAAATCTCCGACAAAGGTACTTTACCCTTGTTGTATCTCTTCATATATTTGGTGATTCTCTTTCCTTCAGTCCTTTTAAAATCTCACTGGGCTAAATTTTGAAGGTCTTATTCTCATCCCTCACTCAGAAAGTACTCTTGTGGCGTCATCAGGAGTTGAGCCCTCCTAAGAAACAAACACAACTGGAATGCTTTGTTTTGATACATATTCCCTTTGAATATGGCCATGCTGTTTGATGTCTTGCAGTGGGACTGCAGGTGAAGTAAGGCATTGCCCCAGCTGAAAAATTATACCAGAGTCCAATGTTCAAACTGAAGAAGGATACCAGAGTCCTAGTATGAGGAAGGAGTCCAATATTTGATACACAATGTATTTTTTTTACGGTCTAGTCCTTGGTGCTTTCCTTCATCTTTTGATACTCTTTTTTACTTCACTGTGTCATTTCTCTGAAGGGCACTTATCTTACCCACATGCTTTTGAGGTCTCCCATCTTAAGGTTTACTGTAGAGTGTACGTGCCATAATAATTTGTGCTACTGGGTGCCTTCTATCCTATAAGACGATAACCTAACAAAAGTTAATAGGAGTAGGAGAATAGCAGGAGGTCTTCACTTCTGTGATCCAAAAATGTTTGATGGTTTTGAGGACAATTAGAATCCCCCTTTCTCCACTATTTACCTATCTTGCAACGTTACTGACCTTAAAAGACCAACTGTTACTATGTCAATCTGTGGGGGTATTTCCTGCTTATTTTTAAAAACATGAAGAAATAAGGAGTATGCACGGTAAATAAGAACTATATTCCATGTGATCAGATCATATGCTTTTATGGTGAGACCAGGTGACCCTGCACAGTACAGTGATGGACATGTTGGGTATTTTGCTTCAGCAAGGTGGATATTCTAAGGGCAATGAGTAGAAATGGAAAGACTTAAACATGAATGGGAGCGTCTGAACACATGATCAAGGAGGAAGAGCTCTTTAGGATGTGAAGAGTCAGGAGATTTCTGCTGTGGTTAAATAGCTGTCCTTGTGTGTTGGAAGAACTAAAATGTGTCTTCTAAGACTTCTCTGGGAGCCCAGTATGTATCTTGCTGAAATCCACAGCTTTCCTCTGCTGGTATATGCATAGCTGTCTTTATCTCTTTTCTGGAACATCCTTCTAAATCCAAGGACACTTGTCAGCAGTAGTAATTTTGAACATAATGACTCTTTATTGTCTGATCTTGCTTTGCTTTTGGATCTTACAGAGAACTCTCAACATGCATAGTAGTGATTTGCACAGAGTAGATAAAACATCTAAGATACCAAAGCAGGCAGCAGCAATCTGGGCTGAAGTCAAGGCTCTGGTACATTGTTGTGCTGATGGAATTTTGCCTTGGCTTACATTTTGGAGCATAAATTTCCTCTTTGGTTTTGGAAATATAAACTTTCCTATTTCATTTGGCTGATACCTTTCATTTTTAGGAAACTTATAGTTAGAGGTGAGTCATAAGGAGTTTTGGAATCCAGACTTTACACAGTGACTCCTCCTTTCCCATTGTAGATAGCTGAGAAAAGGGTTATGTGGTAGCAGAACTCCTTTACCTGACTGTGGAGCAGAAGGAAAGAACTGTCGCAATTGTAATGCCATCATCCTGAAGTAATATCCTGCCCTTGTTAACTTTCTGTAGAAATACTGCATACAATTCATTGCGAATAATTGGCTTAGGTTGAGGCCTCTTTCCTGCTTGGGTGGATTTATTGAATCAATTTTTTCTTTGAAATTATTTGCTAAATATTTTTATAGATGAATCTCAATCTAATTGTGGTAGGTTAGAAATTGGTTTGCAGTACTCCATGTGCAGATGTTTTGGGCAGATAGTTTTGTTTTATGTAGAAACATGCAGGTCAAAAATAGTGAATCTGTTTCCTGTTTGGGAAAACATGATTCCCACAATTACATTATTGGTATAAATAATTACCTTAATAGGTTGACACTTGTCCTGGTTTCAGCAGGGATAGAGTTAATTTTCTTCCTAGTAGCTGGTACAGTGCTGTGTTTTGGATTTAGTATGAGAATAGTGTTGATAACACACTGACGTTTTAGTTGCTAAGTAGTGCTTACACTAGTCAAGGACTTTTCAGCTTCCCATGCTCTACCGACTGAGAAGGCTGGAGGTGCACAAGAAGCTGGGAGGGGGCACA